ATAGGCTTCCCTCACGACTCCTGAAAATGCAAACTCCGCTTGAACTCTTGCTCAACGAGACTCCAGACTACACCTTTTTTAAGGTGTTCGGGTGTGCATGTTGGCCTCACCTTCGCCCATATAGCAAGCGTAAGTTAGAGTTTCGGTCTAAGAAGTGTGTCTTCCTGGGGTACAGTTCTCTTCACAAAGGGTACAAATGCCTCCATATTCCTACAAATCGCGTTTACATCTCTCATGATGTGGTGTTTGATGAAAACGTGTTTCCTTTTCGTGCACTTCCGACAAACTCTACCATTTCCTCACAACTGGTGCACATGTCCACACCTTTGCCTGATCAATTTGTGGATCTTGCATATGCCCCTGCGTTGTTGCCTAATCATGCTGCATGTATTGGACGTGGCGCTCGTCTTGAGCTTCTTGATGAACAGGAAACTTGTCGGGCAAAGACCTTGCCGGGGGAAAATCTTGTCGGGCGAAGACCTTGCCGGGGAGGAAAGCTTGCCGGGGGAAACCGACGCGGCAGCTCCTGCTCGGGTCGTGCATGTCCCATGCATAACGGGTTCGACCCGCGTACCCGCCCCTGCATCGCCACTGGAGGCTGCCGTGCGGGCGCCGGTCTCGCCTGGCCCACGGGTGGCCTCGCCTGGCCTGCCACTGGCCTCGCCCAGTCCTTCGGCTGGCGCCCCGCCTGGCCCTCGGCTGGCCTCGCCTGGCGTGCCGCTGGCCTCGCCCAATCTTTCGGCTGGTGCTCCGCCTGACCCAGGAGGGGTCACGCCCGACCTGGAGGCATCTTCGCCTCGGTCGGCGGTTGCTTCGACCGGCCTGGAGCTGGACCCGGTCAGTCCCGCCTCGGCTGCTAGTGGGCTGGCCTCGCCTGGCTCGTCGTCGTCAGGGAGCCCTAGTGACAGCTCTCTCGATGCTGCAGCTTTGTCTCCATCACCGGTTGCGACGGTCTCGCCGGCACGGCCTGTGGTCCCTCTTCGTCCTCGTACGCGGAGTCAGTCGGGCATTTTCTGTCCGAAGGAACGCAAGGACGGGACTGTGGCATGGCTAGCCGCGTGCATGGCTCACATTGCTGCTGATCCCACTGCTGAGCCTCGACACTTCCAGGCTGCACTGAGTATTCCTTACTGGCACGCTGCTATGAAACAAGAGATTCAGGCTCTCCAGAAAAATGACACTTGGCAGCTTGTTCCTCCAGTATCTGGTGTCAATGTTATTGATTCCAAGTGGGTTTTCAAAGTCAAGAGACATGCTGATGGTTCCATCGAACGCTACAAGGCACGGCTTGTTGCCAAGGGCTTCAAACAGAGGTATGGTCTTGATTATGAAGACACGTTCAGTCCAGTCATCAAGCCTACTACCATTCGCTTGCTGTTGTCTCTTGCTGTCACTCGTGGATGGTCTCTTCGTCAGCTTGATGTGTAGAACGCTTTCCTCCATGGAATTTTGGAGGAGGAGGTTTATATGCGCCAGCCACCTCGATTTGTCGATCCTGCACGCCCTTGTCATCTCTGTCGTCTGACTAAGGCGCTATATGGACTAAAACAGGCTCCTTGTGCATGGCATGCTCGTCTTGGCTCTGTTCTTCGAGCACTTGGGTTTACTCCCTCCACTGCAGACACATCGCTGTTCCTTCTTCAGCGTCCTGAGGTTACGATGTATCTTCTGGTTTATGTTGATGATATCATTCTCATCAGTTCATCCCATGCTGCTGCTAATCGTCTTGTGGTTGCACTCAGTGGTGCCTTTGCTGTCAAGGATTTGGGTGCCTTGCATTTTTTCCTTGGTCTGGAGGTTTCACGTTCTTCTTCTGGTTTGACTCTTACACAGAAGAAGTACTCCCTGGATCTGCTGCGTCGTGCTGGTATGCTGAAGTGAAAACATGCTATTACTCCGATGTCTGCCACTGATCGGTTATCTGCCCTTGATGGAGATGCTCTTTCACCCGAGGATGCTACTGAGTATCGCAGTCTCGTTGGTGGTCTGCAATACCTTACTATTACCAGGCCTGATATCTCCTATGCAGTCAACCGTGTCTGTCAGTTTCTTCATGCACCCAGGACATCTCATTGGTCAGCTGTGAAACGCATTCTGCGTTACATCTGTTTTACTGTCTCCTATGGTTTGCTTCTTCAGCCTGCGCCCTCGTGTGAGCTCTCAGCTTTCTCAGATGCAGATTGAGCTGGCAGTCCTGATGACAGGCGATCCACGGGGGGATATGCGGTATTTCTGGGTTCTAACCTGATCGCCTGGAATGCTCGAAAGCAGGCCACAGTGTCTCGCAGTAGTACTGAAGCTGAGTACAAAGCAGTTGCTGATGCCACTGCTGAGATCATATGGGTACAGTCTCTGTTGAGAGAGTTGAGAGTTACTTCAGCACATCCTCCGGTTCTGTGGTGTGATAACATTGGTGCTACATATTTTTCATCTAATCCAATGTTTCACGCTAGGACGAAGCACATTGAGGTTGACTATCATTTTGTTCGGGAACGTGTTGCACAGAAGCTACTTTGTATCAAGTTCATTTCATCAAAGGATCAACTTGTTGACATCTTCATGAAGCCTCTTCCACAACCACAGTTTGTAGGCTGTAGGCACAATCTTAACTTGATGTGTACTTCAGGCCACAGTTAAGATTGAGGGAGGGTGTTAGACTGTATATATATGTAGTCTGTGTATTAATATTATAACATTGTATTGTACCCCTTGGTACCTCTATATAATGAAAAAGCCACACCCCGTTTAGGGTGTCGAGCAAGTTCCCAACATATTATGTTTTACACACACAAGCCCGTATGCATCCTGTCATTTCTGGCACGGCCCTGATTGTTTACAAGAAACTGCGCATAGTAGAGTACCAGCCTCGAGAAACCCTATCACTGAAACTGGAGAACGGAAAGTCCAAAACAAAAGGTTAAACAAAAGAGAATGGAACCAAAAGTGCAGAGCAGACAGGGCCGTGTGGATAAGACCGAGTGGCCTCACATGCCTCCACCACCTCACCGCGAGAGCAGCGGAGTGTCGCTTTAATTAGCGCTCGTCACCCCCCACCACTGCCTCCCAGCATCACAAGCGTCCCTCCCCCATCTTCTTCCTCCCCGCAACTCGCTGCTCCTCCCACAACCGAAGCTCAGTCCCGTGGCCACGCAGGTAAAGCGGCCTCTCCCTCTCCTTCTCCTCCCCCTTCCTCCGGTCCAACCAAATCCATGCGATGGGTCGATCCATAGTACTAGCTGCCTAGTTCATGACCGATCTGTGGAGTGTTAGTTCTAAAAGAAATGCGTCTACAGTGCGTGCTGTCATCTTGAAGCGAGCAGAAGGGTCAGATGAGTGTGCTCCCGGTGTTGTTCCTCTAGGTTTCTCCACGATCTGTTGTTTTTCATCTCATTCTGCTAGCCGGCCACTGTTCACTTTAGATTTAGCGGAGGAAAGAGACGCTGAAAGCAGGCGGAAAGCCGTCACCGGAAAGTACGTTCCATTCTTTTCTGTGATTTCTTCTGTTTGTTAGTGCGCTTGATCTGTTTCCTTTGCTGGTTTCCTTAGTTTTGTCTGTCCAGATTAGCGAGTGTTTTGTAGTGTGCTGTTCCTGCGCATCAATCAGAATCAGTTCGTGGTTGCACAAGTAGAAGAAATACAAGTTATTTGGTTCTAGGATTCATTCAAGGTAGGCGTGTCCCACCTTGTTTTGTGGCCCGTGATCCGGTTGTTCGTTCGGTTCTTGCACCGGGAGCGAGTTGATAGCGCCGAATCGAGCACCTTGGGAGTGCATAGAGTTCAGTGTTGCGGGTGAAAGGCGTCAGTTGGATTCCCTCTTAGTTGGTGATTCCTTATTGCTTTGATTGTGACATAAATAAATGCTCATAGTTTGCTAACTCTGAAAACGTCCTGCCAGAGACATATAAAGATGTTGTGTTAACACATCACATCAAGTAGGGTGGGTGGACATATTGATAGTGGGTTCTCTAAAGTATATATAAGTCCAAATGAGATTGATTAGTGGGCAGGACATGCTACGTGGCTATGCCGACGTGCCGGATTCAGTTCTTAGCAGATGATTCAACAAGAGAAAATTTGAGGACTAATTCGACGGATTTTTCTGTGCATAAATTACTTCCCTCCGGTTTTTCCTACCTCTTTACTGGCTAGTGTACAAAATGATAGATAAGCTCAGCATCATTTTCACTGCATCAGCCCACTAGGAAGTAGGAACTAGCTCTAATTTGATATGGTGGTGTTTCCTGTAGGATGGAGATAGGTTTGTTTGTTTGTGTGGAACGGTGAGCAGACCACAGCTGCATTATTGGGCAAATGCTTCCACTTATCCACTCTTTCACATTCTTTTTTTTTATTATATGTGTTGGTCAACTGCCATTGTATGGTTATGAGCTAGTCTCTTTGCTTTGTCTGACAGCATCCTTAGTTTTAGCCAGCCCCACATATTGAAGTCATGTATTAATTGATCAACCTTCTCCGGTGCTGTATTACTATGTACTTTGGTTCTGCCCCAGTTCCGAGAAGGCAAATTGCCTGATCCAAAAAACTTGTGAACACCTTTTTTAACCGCCACTTGCGCGCTCCTTGGCTCATGACAGAGGCACACGTTTGCAAATACTTACTTTCAGCCTGGGTTCATGTTAGTGTAAACTTCTGCAGTTGAGTTACATGTCATTACCAAAGCTCCATCTTTTCCCCATATGCACTTCACCTCATTTTCACATTCTATTCAGTTAGTGTTTCCCAATATCATGTGTTGCCTGCTATAAAAGTTCATCTTCTTGAAAGAATCAGTTTACGATATTATTTACTAATCATTTTTGGGATTGAATTGAATTTTTCTGACGTATAGATATTGTTTGGTCTATATTATTAAAAATTACACTGCACTTTAAAGAACTATCTATAACATCTCCATTCTAACTAAGAAAATAGTCTTTCTAATATCAAAGAAGTCACAAGTCAGTTATCCCCTTAGTTAAAAATAAAGTAACTGTTTCTTCATGTATGATTTGACACAGAACAAAATGCAGCGAGCAATTCAAGCTATCGGATCACATGGCAGTGTGCTCAAATCTGCTGTCCTGCAACACATCAGTGTTGTGAAGCCTGCTATGCTGCCCGCTGTGTTCCCACGCTTCATGTCAGTATCATCTGCTCAAATAGAGGAGAGTGGATTTGAGAGCAGCACTGTTGCAGACATTTTGAAGTCTAAAGGGAAGAGTGCCGATGGATCATGGCTCTGGTGCACCACTGATGATAGTGTCTATGATGCTGTCAAATCGGTATGATTTCCCTTCTAGCCCAGTGGTCATATTACTCCATAAGTAGAAAATATTTATGATTTTGAGTGACAAAAAGAGTTTCAACAGATGACACAGCACAATGTGGGAGCTTTGGTGGTTGTTAAACCTGGGGAAGATAAATCAATTGCGGGCATCGTCACAGAGAGAGGTAAACTGGTCTATAAACACTCTGTGATGGAAACAGACCAAATGACGTGCTAAAAGAGGAAACGTTAGAAAGTTACTTACATTTTCTTGGTTTATGCCCTTGCCTTCTTTATTCTACATTATTATAAAGAAAATAGTAATAATAACATGAAGGGTTGTGAGTAAAAGCTGTATGGTGAAGGTGCAAATGCTTTATAAAAGATGACAACCCTTGTTTCTTACATGCATTATAATTACTGTCAGTCAAGAATCTTAGGACTGATGAATAAATCTTAACGCATCATGCATCAAGAACCTGCAGATAGTGTGCCACAAGCCTGTATGACCCTATCAAGTGGAACATATATATGAAAGAACATTTGATGATCCTATTCTCATGTTGAAATTGCAGCCAGCAAGTTGCCATGAGTTCCCAAAAAGAAAATCATTAAGTATTTAGGGAGAGTTCAGGTACAAAAATATATGCTTTGAACCATGTATTATTGTGCCACTAAATAGTTGAACTCTGATCCTGGACCTACATCTACCATAAACGCTTTGGACCATTGTGCCATTAAATACTTGAACTCTGATCCAGTACCATAATGGTTGAACTCTGATCCTCCTGAACCTCCAGCTAGCATAAACAATTCGCGTAAATTTCTTTGAAGTCCGATGAACCTTAACGGTTGCGAACTTCGAGCCTGCCACTCAAACACTCACAGTCGCAAAGATCTTGTTCATTTACCTATAATAGCATCGAGTCATTGACCTCTTCGCCTATAATCTCCATGAATAGTATCAGCCAGCATCAATGCCAACTCTGACTGCCACTCTGGCAAGATAGGAGTATATGAAGATGTTGTGCCTGAAAATAAAACCTATACTACATAGTGATCAAAAGAACAGAACAGCAAACCTGAGCAGCTTTGTAAACCAAAGATTTACCTATGTAACAAACATTATGTTACTTGCCTTTTCAGATTATCTCCGGAAAATTATAGTGCAGGGTCGATCCTCCAAGTCAACCAAAGTTGGAGATATCATGACCGAAGAGGTACGCTCATACCATGTTCTCAATTTTTTTCAGGGATGTTCTGATTTTCTCTGTGCCCCGTACACCCTGAATAAAATTAGTACAAAAACTCTAGTCATAAGCATGTGAATCACAATTATGTGAACGCGCCGAGCTTCATTGACAAAGCATCATTTTGACAGAACAAGCTGATCACGGTGAAACCTGAAACCAGAGTCCTGAAAGCAATGCAGCTGATGACAGGTAAGCCCGCCTGATCGAGTTCATTCGTCGTTGCACACCAGATGTTCTGTAAAGCACTGAACCCTAACCATGGCACGGCGTGCAGAAAAGCGTATCAGGCACATCCCGGTGATCAGCGGCACGGAGATGATGGGGATGGTCTCCATCGGCGACGTGGTTCGCGCGGTGGTCAGCGAGCACAAGGAGGAGCTGAACCGGCTCAACGCCTACATCCAGGGTGGGTACTAGGACCCAGCCGTTTTGCAGGGCGTCCCTTTGAGTGAACTCTACAATAACGACCAGGGTGATGATGACGAAATAGGCCGTGTTTCTTCGCGGACAATGGCTGTTGAACTTGAATTTGCGTGTGTGATGTTTTCCTGCTTATTTAGTGCATATTTCCGTGGCCGCGCGCCGCCGCGTGCTTGTTTCTGGAGCGTATAGACCATCCATCTCAGCTGATGGTGATAGACGCAGAATAAAGCTTGGGAGTGACCCGGAAAGGATACTTGAGTTTCACCGTGCTAATGTTTTTTACCCCTTGTTGTCGACTGTCATTCGGTTAAATGTGTCGCTACATTAGCTTTGATATGTCATGCAAGGTTGCATCGACCAGATGCAGGTCTTCCTCCTTTTCTAAAAAAAATGTCATGCAAGGTAAGTGAAAGTTGTAGTTCTTTTTCTGGCAGTCGGCGAAAAGTTTGTAGCAAGAAGCACATCTTGAAAATCTGCCAAAAAAGCCAAAAAAGGAAGTACATCTTGCAAGAAGATCAAAAGAATACATCACATGCGTGGTTTGTAAGCCGAAGACCAAGGTGGTCTAGGCATTCGTGACCTTGGTAAAAAATTACGCCTTACTTAATAAATGGTAGTTCAAACGGAAGCGGATTAGGAGCACTTGGTGCTCCACCCCCCTATATTCAAACCACTTATATTGAGAACATCGTTTAAGGTAAAAGATGATGCCGTGTCCTTGGCATTTAGCAAACTTTGTTGTGTAACAAGTATCTAGACCAAAAACTGTGCCTTGGGTATATTGCAACTTGGAGATTCACACCTTTGGGCTGGTCATGGCGGGAAAAAGATATCTCGTTTGTTTTGGATCTTTCGTGATTAAGGATGGTTCGTAGATTCGTTTTTGGAAGAACAAGTGGCTAGGCAGGCAATATGAGTCCACGGAAACAATTTCCAGCCGCGGGTGCTGAGTTCATCCCATCCAAATATATTATTCGGAATGGATTTGATCGTAATTTAAATTTTATGTTATGCAATGTAGTTTAAATTTCATGGCATGCAATGTGTTTGAATGGACTAGTTTAAATCTTTGTTTAGTTTCAATCTTTGCTTGAATGAAGCTGTGTGAAAAATGAAAGTTAAATTAAGGGTCTAGTTAGGAACCACATCATTTTAGCGGATCAAACATAAAAAGTTAAGGTTTAAGAAGACCACCTGACATATATGTGATAAGCAATTTAAACTATTCAAAGAAAGAAGGTTTAAAGAGGCTTTTGAGAGTCTAAATTTCGAAAGATCGGCTGCTCCTCTATATGTGAGGATACGCCGGCACAGCCCACCAAGCCTCTAGCTGTCCAGCACGATTGGACGAGCTCAAACCTGGCCGCCCGTTCCGTTGTTGACCAGCGCCATGCCGCCGTAGCTGTTCGAGCCAGGTCCAATCTGTTTCCAAGTTCAATAACTACCTGACCTTCTGCACAAACTTGAGCGTGTTTTCGCCCCAAAACAGAGTTACAAAACGTAAACAGTGACGCGACGAAGATACTCCCTCTGTTCTTTTTTATTTCGCGTATAATTTTTTACTCCTTCGGTTTTATAATGTAAGACGTTTTTGACACTATACTAATATTAAAAAACATCTTTCATTAGGGACCGAGGGAGTACTGTTTTTTCTGATGATACTCCGTAACTCCGAGCGTTTTCTTCTCTAGAAGATGGCTACAACTACAAGCCAGACAACCCAAAAAGTTGTCCATGAATAGGGACATTTTTTAGAAAAAGATGAATAGGGACATGAGATGAGCAGATAAGCTCTGCATTTATTTATCTACCTATCTAGAGTCGAAGAGGAGATAATCAGAGGGTGGAAAAGCCTTCTACTCCAACCAATTTTCGCAAGTCATCTTCACCCACCATCCATAGCAGGAGGGTAGTAATAATTTGCTCCCGAATTGACTGTCTGTTTGTCGCAAATGAGCAAACGAGAGTTTGTAGTAAAAAGGACCCCCCTTACTTGGCGAACATTTGCCAGGGAGGGTGACATTTGAGAGGTGTCAGTTTCTTCAGACGACATGGCATTTTCTCCCTTTCCATTTTAAAATTGATATTGTTTGATTTCGTTTTACAACCAAAACTGCCGTCAAAGATGGTCTGTTTGTCACCTCCCCTACAACGGCATCAGCTTCGATCCGAATTAAGACATTGTATAGAGATTGTGTCAATTAATTCGGAGAGAACGTAGTTCTTTTTCTTATAGTCGGGAAAAACTTGTAGTTAGAAGTACATCTTGCAAGAAGATCAAGAGAATACACTACATCTGGAAAATCTAACCAAGAGCGTGGTCGAAAGACAAAAGTGGTTTAGGCATTCATGATTTTCAGGTAAAAGATGATGCCTTACTTAGTAAATCACGGAGGATGGGCGTTTAGTATATGCTTTTTTTTAAAAGACCGAGAATGACGTTCAAGGTAAAAAAAAATGATGTCTTAGTAGATGGTTGTTCAAATAATGATGTTGACAAACCTTGTTACACAATAAGTATTTAAGCCAAAAACTGTGTCTCTGGCATATTGAAAACCTGAAGATTCACATCTTTGGGCTTGTGGCGGTAAAAAATATATATCCTTTTGTTTTGGATTTGTCGCGATTAAGGATGACTATTTATTTCTGGGAGGGCAAGTGGTTAGAGAATGTCAGTCTTCGGAAACAATATCCAATCGTATACCGCAGTGTACACGATAAGGATGATATGCTTGCGCAGGTCCTCAGGTCATGCCCTTCGAATATATTGTTCAAGAGGGATTCATTTACAGCTTAAATCTTATGTTATGCAATGTAGTTTAAATTTCATGTTATGCAATGTGTTATCGAATTGACTACTTCAATCTTCGTTTGAGTGAAATTGTGTGAAAATGATTTTTTGAGAACCTGTGTGAAAAATGCTAGTTAAATTTAAGAGTTCAGTTAGAAACCATAATTTTTTAGCAGATCAAATATGTGAGTTAAGATTTAAGAAGACATTTGAGAATCTAAAATTTGAAGGATCAGCTCCAGAGAAAAAAAAAAGATAGAGAGGTGACTTCAGAAATGCCACGGAGCTGGCTGCTCCTCTGTGTGTGAGGATGCGCCCGCACAGCCCACCAAGCCTGCAGCACGACTGGACGGACTCAAACCTGGCCTCCGTAGTTGAAGGAGCCAAAGGCCACGGTCCAATCTTCTTCTTCTTCTTCTTCTTCTTCTTCTTCTTTTGCGATTCACAGTCCAATCTATTTCGAAGTTCAATACTGCCCGACCTTCTGCACATATTTGAACGTCGTTTTCGTCCCAAAACAGTCACAGAAAGTAAACAGTGAGGCGGCGAAAGTATTTAGCAGATGGTACCCCGAGAGTTTTTTCCTATAGAAGATGGCTGCAACTACAAGCCAGAGAAGTGAGACAACCCGAAAAGTTATACATGAATAGGGACATGAGATGAGCAGATAAGCCTTGCATTTTTATCTATCGACCCAGAGGCAAAGAGGAGATAATTGGAGGTACCCTCTGGTGGAAAAGCCTTCTACTCCAACCAATTTCCGCAAGTCGTCTTCACTCTTCACCCACCATCCATGGCAGGAGACTGGTAGTAATAATCTGCTCCCGAATTGACTGTTTGTTTGTCGCAAACGAGCAAACGAGATTATACATACTCCTTCATTTCACAATGTAGTGCGTATTTTATTTTTTGAATCAGACAAGCCTATGTTTGATCAAGTTCAAAGAAAAACATACCAATAGTCACAATACAAAATCAATATCATTAGATTCATCATGAAGTATATGTTTTTATTTTATTTAGTATTTTACATGTCGATGCTCTATCCTATAAATTTGGTCGACATGTTTGACTTCAGAAAATAAAATATGCACTACATTATGGAGCAGAGAGAGTAGTACTATTGATCATGTCAAAATTGATGGCTTTTCGACGGAAGTATAATACTGTTACCTCGCTTGTGACGAAGAAATAATCACAAATTCTGTTTAGATCAATGATTGCCTTGCTTGTCCATGCACTTCAACATGGCAGTGGGCTTGCTCAAGGATATGCTTCTACACCTACTTTCAAAGGTTAATCTTTCAAATAAAAGAGTTTAAGGTTTAGGTCAATGCTTGGGTAGTTGGGTGGGAAATGAAACGACCGCGTGACCCGGACATCACCTCCCTAGCGGCTTTGGGAGGGGGGGGGGCAACCCTAGCCGTTGCAGCGTCCTCCCCTTGTTGCCCCCTAGGGTTGCCCCCCCCCCAGCAAAGCTCAAGCCAGCCCAAGGAAAGCCAATGCTTCACTTTGAGCTAATAAAATTAATCCTTTGTCGAAAAAAGGCCAATGCTTTCGTGAACAACCCCTTGATCGTTCTCGGCCCAGATGTGAATTCATATGCATGGGGTGTCGTATGTAGCTGGACTAGTGAGGGTTGTGATCCGCCGAGAGTCATGTCTTGGGGTTCTGACATGGGCAAGGGCGACGTAGTAAGGTCAAAAGGTTTCAGCTCGTGGCACACACAGCTCCAACGTCGACGTGCTCTGAGGCCTTCCATGGCGCCGACGCCACATGAGTATTTCTATCTTGAGTGTTTTATCGAAATGTAATTATAGATAGAACTAAGGAAGCAAGTGTGATTAGAGGTTTGATACCACATTTGATACTAGGGGGAATTAGTCATTTGTAATATGCTTATGGTACAAATACTATCATGCTTCATTCACCAAAGTAGCAATCCTCAGGGGCTAAAAAAGAGCCCAGATTCCCTGCAACAAGCTTGGAAAGGAAGAAGATACAAGGGGAGGAGTTCCGCTTAGCCTTTGCTCCTCTTTGATAGAAGTATCTTTTTTTTTGCCAGAATGGTTTGTTAGCAAGAAAATGCCTTCTTAGGAAGTGGGCGAGGCAAACACCACATATTTCGCGTCCGCCACGAATGGTTGCCTCCACGAGCAGATTCCCCACCATCGTCAGGGACACCGCCAAAGGAAAGGGGGGA